CGTGCGTGGAGTAGGTTAGGATAGAATTTTCCACGTGCCGATAATTAATATAGGCCGGATCGGTAGGACAATTATCGAAGCGGCTTGTTATTAGAAGTTATCGGAGTATTTTCGTTGGTAGGCGGTAATCGGTCGAGCTCCGATAATGAAATTCCGATAACCGCGTCGCTCGATGCAACCAGCTCGTTTTTTGTTCGACCGATTCGCCGCTGATGGAACGTTCACCGGTGATCGAAACCTCGTCCATCGATCCACACCAAATCGGAAATCGGGCACCGCCTTGTTTTTACCGCTCCCGAATCCTCCTCGACAACAACGTTTCGGCAGTTTTTTTCTTCAGAATTTCTTCCATTCCGGACGAGTATTTTGATTAATTGAAATTCCATCTTATTATCTCGAAGGAATAATAATTTATATAAATTTCCTCTTCTCCACAGAAAAGAAAGGAAGAAAGAAATTCGTCCCTTTCCGTCTTTCCTCGATTTTCGTTAATCGAGATTTCGTTCGTTTCGATGATGAAATTTGCGTTAGGGATTTGGGATCCTCGCGTTGAAACCAATTAGGATGTTGTTCGCGGCGGGGCGCAACGGGTCGTCGAGTTAAAAAGCGATTTGTCTCGAGCTCCTATCCCCCCTTCCTCCTCCGGTATCGCAGATTTCTACGCTTCGTTACGTGGCCCCGAGAACATTCATCTTCGTCATCGCGCCGAAATCTTTCTTTCCCCTCTGCGGTTAACCGATTTTCTTCGTCCTCTTCGTAATCGAGATCTAAAGATCTCAATCGAGGACGAAATTTTCACGTCCTGCTCGATTTCGATCCGACACGAAAAATCCGTTTTATCCGTGAAAAAGAAAAAAAATATTCGTAAAGATAGGAAGGAGAAGGGGGAGGAGGAGGAAAGTTCCGTGGAAAGTTTGTGGACTAATAAATCGTGGAGTCGTGGCGTGCAGTCACGAACGAACGAACGTCCGAATCGTGTATGCAAAGTAGACATAGGCTCTCGTATAAAACACCGTTGACAGACTGTGCCATTAATGCGGAGGATCCTCGAGCCCAACCGAACTTTGCTCCGCCCGTTCCCGTCAAACTTTTGAATCCGAGCTTTGAATATTTACCGACCTTCCCTACTCCCAAATTCATCCGCCGCGACGTTCTCTTTCTCTTTCTCTCTCTCTCTTTCTTTCTTCTCGCATCAATGAAAACACCAACACAGCGACGCAACATCCATGATTTTGCATCTTAATAAAACAAAACAGTTTCCCAGCCTTTGTTCGTCTTAAAGCTATATAATATATCTACGTGGTGCTGCATCGATCGTGGTTTCGACTTTACACCTCCGGTATTCTCAGATTCATTACTCTCGCGGGTGAAAAGTTTGAAATCTGGCTTGTGAATATTTATCGAGCGTCCCCTTCTAAATTCATCGCGTTGCCAATCCACGCGCGTCCGGATTTCGTTAAATTTCATCGTCGTCGTTTATCAGCGGATTCTTCGTTTTGTTCTTCCAACTTAACTTGCCGCGTTTTCAACGAAATAGCGAAATTCTACCGTAGCGCGAGCTATCTATCTTTTCACGCCCGTGGTTGCGGTTACCAGCGAGGTCGATTCGACCGTACCACGTTTCATTGTTTCGAAGCATCGACGCTCGACAAATATCCGTGCGCGGCGCCACCATCGAGATTCAATCGAACGACCGTTGATTTTCAACCGTCGTTCAACTTTGCGATGTAAACCGCGCGGAAACGAAGAATCGAAAAGAAGAAATGTGTTGCCGAATTAATTCCCGTCGATGGATCAGAATCCTCCATACTCGTTCTGCCCCTTGTCGGATATACGGATCATGCTTTTGAACGTGTATTCAGAAATTGAAGGACATCGTAGAATTATAAAACACGTATGTCATCTCTTCTTTTAATTTTACTCGAAAGTTTGACCAAAATTTCATTTCTTGTCCTGATTAATTTATTTCATCGATTTTGTAACGATTTTGAAAATATAAATTTTTGGCCAAAATTTGAGAGAAGATATTTAGAAAATATTAAAATGTTATAAAATTTATCTTTTATAACATTTTTCAATTATTTTAATTTTAACTTAAAATTATATTTACTTCATTTGTATTTACTTTGTACGTATTTACGCTGTTCACGTTATGCAGCAACGTATAAATATATATATTAGCTGGAATATACAAAAATATATTTGAGATGTACGCGCAACGTATAAAAACATATCCGTTTATATTTTCATACATCATGCAAGAATATATATATCGATAAATATAAAAATATACGCGCGATGTATGAAAACAGATATAAAAATATACAATCACCTTTTGATGTCAATCTTACGATTGGACGACTATTGCTTTTACCTCGTACATACGTGGATCTGTCGCGGCTCTTTCTCTCGCTAGGCGATACGTTTCTAAAGTAACAATTCGATCCATTATAGAGCCGTTCCATTTATCGGGATTGCTAAATGGAGAACATCTGTCTCCCTTTCCATTTGTTTACTTATCGACGTAGTCTCGCGCGGACTGCCGACACGAGAGTAACCGAACGATGAAATCTCGTTTCGCAACGCGTTTCCGCGTCTGGCCAAGTTAAAAGCTTTTGGCCTCCTGTTCGTTTCGGCCAGGATATTGGTTGGCCGCCGTATTTCCGCTATCGTCGTCCAAACAAGAGAGAGAGAGAGAGAGAGAGAG